TTTTATACCTAATTCTGCCAAAGAAATATTTTAGTTTTGTTTTGTATTTATGTTAATTCTACATAACAGACTTTTTTTTTCTCTGCTTATTAAATTCATCTTTTTCAGCCTACTTTTGATTTATACTTTGCTCATTATTAATCAAGTTAACTCCGATTTTAATAGTTTACAGTTTACAATTAGTTACAACTTCAAATTCCTAAATAAAACTTAAGTTACATGGAAGGATGTGATTTCTATAACTGTAATAATACTCGTTAATAAATGTAAATTAGAAAATTATCACAATAAAAAAAATACAAATTTCATTTTCTATTAATTTTCTTTCGATAAATTTTACCTACCTCATACCTTATAAATACAAAATATTTCACGTATTAAATGTAGATTTACAACTTTTACTGTATTATTTTATTGACCCGCATAATAAAAACATATTTGTAGAATAGTGACGCAGTTACCTCACTTTATTTACCTCAACATTAACATAACAGTTTTATGTACTTTAGTAATTTCCCCAACGTCACGTAATAATGTTAACATTGGTAAGAAAAGTAATCTTGATCGCCGAGATAACTAGAATAAACATAAATGTGTTAACAATGACACACCCCCCTGACCGCAACTGCATTACACATAATGACGTGTTACTTCTCCATTATTATTTCGTTAGGGATGAAGATTATTGAATCACTTTTTGCATTCTGACTCATTCTGGAAACAACGGCGGCCCTATTCAACTATTGTTTTATTACTGATGATTAATATGAATAAAAGAACACAATGTTAAACAGGTCTAATTGCGTAATAAGAAGTGGTATAATTAAAATTCTATTCCATAGTTAGTCGTAGCCGATTCGTGTAGTGTGGTGACCGAGAATGACTCAAGAAGGAATGAACGGGACGACGTTTAAAAATTCCAATATACATACGTAAATTATACAACTGTGGAGTAATTGCTGTTTGCGCATTTGTTATGTTAATCGCCTACTCCGAATCAGGCACGATTGGTATTTCATTACTGTAATAATAAAAATCTGAATATATTATTTTTATACAACTTCAAATAGCGAATTAGCTATCGTCACAGCTAAGAGAAAATGATTATCATTGTCTGTATATGACATAAGCGGCAAAGACATTATTTATTTCACTTTCGCGTTACAATTCCTGCGAATTTAAGTATTAAAATAATAATAAATAATTCTTTTTCAAGTATACCATATATATTACCAGAGTATATATTACCAGAGGGAGACTTTGTACAAAAGTCGATTGCTTGGGTACCTCTGTCCCATTCGTGTTTCAACCGTGAAGCAGCTGTGTTTGCATGGCTGTGTTTCGGTTTGAATTTACTGAGTACAGAGGAATAAATAACACCTGAGTCCTCAGGAATGGCAACGCATGGGGGTATCATGGGCGAAACAGTATGCTCTGTTATGTCCATGGTACTGCTCATATCTATAGGCGACGGTTACCACTTTCCATCAGGTGGGCCGTCAGCTTGTTTGCCATTCTAAGTTGTATAAAAAAAAAAAACTTAATAATAAGCATTTTGAATAGCATTTTTTTTATATATATCTACCGCCCACTTCGGAAAGCAATTTCAGCTGAGAAGAACGGACAAGAAACAGCTGTCGCTATTATGCTTTCGTACTCGTATCTATTAAATTTACTGTCATATTCAATTCTTCGAACTGATACATAGCAATGAAAGTATAATTTCTCAATTAATGAAATATAAAACAATATTTTTGACAATATCTTTCTGTGATTTATTTCTATGAAATTAATACTATAATTATAGACGAATAATTACGAGTAAAATAATAAATTTCTTTAATAATTGTCTGAGGCACGGTGTATTATAATTATATATATCGGATTTACTTACATAATAACGTCTGGATTGACTGATATTATTGAAAGATGCCCGTCTTTTTCTAGGCAGAAAAACCTGTGACACTGCGAACTTTCCATGATCTTTGATGCTCGTCTTTTTTTAAAAGTTCGCTTCTAATCCTTGTCAGTGATAGCAATTTTAAGATGTCCTTTGTAGCGATGTTCTTTATCTTCTCAGAATATAAAGTGTATTTTCCAAATAAGATATATCGTTTATGTGTGAGTATCGTTTATGTACAGCCACACATTAAGTTTCTTCCTCACTGTGAAAAGTCTGCAAACACTTTTTGGGCATAAGAGTAGTTGCTCCATGTATTTGTTTAGTCTACTGTGTCCAGTGAGAGCTCTTGTTAATACACACATAATATTTTTACTCAAAAGAATTAATTTCTTAGAGTAATTTTCCATCTCTTTTTTGTTTATATAAGATAGATTACTGTCCCTTAAACCAAAACTCTTAGTTGCATAATTATTGAATACTATAACTGTTGTATGAACTTGATAGTAATCTACTCTAGTAAATTGTATGTACGAACTTATAGTAGCGTAGCTGTTTTTAACATAGATCTTCAGAAACCCTTCTGTAAAAACCGCATTCCATTTGACAGTGAGATTTTGCGTGCTGCCGAAATAAACATACAGACAAGTAGACAAACAAAAATTCCAAAAATAATTGTTTTGGCTTCTATTACTCTCACTAAGAGACCTTATATAATTTTTCCTTAAATATCGTATACATACAAAGTCTAGATTCGTTTTTATTATATTAGTAAAATTATAGACTAATATATCTTTTGATACGTAAGAAATAAATGCATACACTTGACAGACTTAATCCCTTTTGTATTTTATCAGGTAATAAAATGTAATATTAATGTATGCATTAGAAAATTTAATAGAACGTACGTCCTTATCTCTACCCACAAATATTATAAAGAGATAAGCCCTGCTTACCACACTTTTGATTTTTCATTGTATACATAAAATATAAAAATCTTACATTGTTAAACTTTTAACTTTTCGAAAATATTTTCTTAATTAATGTTGAGCAAGAATTTTGGTTGTTTAGCTCCGGCACAGAATGGGTCACCCCTTTTTTTCGTGAGTATCGTAAAAGGCGATTAACGCAGAGAGATCGGCAACTGCGGTTGCCAACCCACCTATGTTCAGCAGTGGACAGTTAACGGCATATATGATGATAATGATAAAGAATTTTCGGACTGTTATTCTTTAAACAGGTAAATACGAGATTTACAAATTTCTATATTTGTACGAAACTCCGTCTATTTTGAACATGGAAATAAAATTAAGAAACCGTGTTTTAGCATCTTTGACAAATGATTCCCAAAAGAGCTGAAAATTTACACGAATAGAATGCGAACTAAATGTTTCCGAAATACACTATAACTAATTGTACACTAATTTTATTGTTAAGATAGATTTATCGTAAGTATTATGTGAATGTATTATGCGAACATGGTTATATATATATATATATATATATATATATATATATATATATATATATATATATATATATATATATATATATATATATATATATATATATATATATATATATATATATATATATTTTGTGTTTTCAAAAACCGCATTAGGAGTATGTCGGAGCAATAGTTAAATTTATATCTCTGAACAATATTGTAAATTATTATATTCTATTCTACGAAAATTTCAACAGAAATGGGATATAACAGATATACATATCTTCATAATAAACAGAAGACTTACTCCGAAATTATATACATTACATATACGAACAATACTCTATCGAATTTCATTGTCTAATCAAATTTCATTTTATGAAGGTTTACTATAAATTAAACATTTAATACATATGGTCGGATCAAACTGAAAGTCTGTACCGACCGACTTAATCCAAATAATAGCCGAAAAACTCCTGCACTTTCGATTGAGACTTGGAAATTGTTATTTCATAATAAGCCCCAGTAACAAGTACTTCATCAATAAGACTTGCCATAAATCATGAAGTACACTCGAATGTGTCACTTCCATCATTACTTAAATAAACACGTCTTATACTTAAGTATTCCTGAGTCATAGGACTTAAAAAGGATACATTTGATTCAGTCATGTGAACGAGTGACCGAGTTCGTTGCACAGATAACATCATCAAGTAAAGTTGAATGACTTGGATGATTCATTCTTTCACAACGTCAATTAAAGGTCGAATGATGATTTCAATGAAGTTTTTTACTTCACTTGTCCAGTGACGCAAGAGAAGAAACGAGTAATTTGAAACTTAAACAATTTATATTAATTTTTGATCATTAAATCAGTTATTAATTATCCTTAGTTAAATTGAATTATCATATATTGGTTGACTCATAAAACGGAATTTCGGCTCAGAAGAAAAAGAAATTAAAGTTCATGACAATAGCATGAGAAATCTAATAGTGATTGTAAAATATCATGGAACTTGATATCGTTTTTGATATATATTTATTTTTTTGCAATTTAATTCACTAATGACAAATATAAGGAACACACTACATAATTAAAAAATTACCATAAAGATTATATGTAGAACATTAAGAACAGATATCTCATGTTGTATGTATTGTATTACTTAATAGATATAAAAAAATCAACAAGAGAATGAACGAGCAAGGCGAAGAGAGAATAAAAGAAAACAATACCTAAATAGAGAAATATTAGAACTATATAAATTATTACGTGTCTAATTGACCTACATGCTCTTCATCTTTTTTATTAGTTTCATGAATTTATAATTGTAAGTATAAGTTTCAGTGATAAACAATAAAATATTATGCAAAGATTTTTCATGTTAATATAAGTGAGACCCACTTACATGTTGTATTATAGTTATATTACAGGTACATATCTGCCCCGAAAGTTTAATTACATAACTAGCAGAATTTTTTTAATTAGCTTACTTAATAAAACTATTTAAGAGTATCTTCATATTTCTTAACTCAAATTTTAAAAACAGATTATGTAAAGCTGTGTAATTTACCTTATAATTTATTATTTTATGTAGCATTTGTTTTAACTTAGGTAAGTTTATAAAAATATAGCTAAAAATATAAACTTACTTTAGGCGCGGAGATTTCGTGGAAAGAGCTGGGTCTAGGAGCTGGCCCGGCCGCTACACAGTCCACAGGCACGCTGTAGTCAGCACACAACGCGGCCTGAAACGATGAAGATAAACTTTAATAATAATTCTAAACTTGTCTTTAAACTTTATATAAATTTTATTTTTACATATTTAAAAAAAAAAAAGATGCTTGAGGCATTCGAAATGTGGCATGGAGGAGAATGGAAAGGAAAAGCTGAACAGAAAAACTAACAAATGAGGAAATCCTGAAAAGAATGAACGAGAAAAGAACATTAATTAAAATAATAGAGAACAGAAGAGGCAAAATGCTGGGCCACCTTATACGACATGACGGTTTTTTAAGAGCATAGAAGAGGGAAGAATAGAGGGCAAAAGAGAAAGAGGAAGAACGAAGAATAACTACATGGGACAGATAAAAGAAACACTAGGTGTCATATCGTATAGGGAGGTCAAGGATATAGAATGGGATAGAACTGGCTGGAAGAAGATGCATGAATTAGTTGCACCGACAAGAGGAAACTCTTAAATAAAAAGAGATATATTTATCGTTCCTTTATACACTACGTTTAGGTATATCTCTTAAATCAACAATCCTGTCACTTTTTCTTTCTTGTATGATATTTTAATAACAACAATCTAGTTTTAAAGATATATTACGTCCATATCGAGATGAAATAAGAATACTTTCACAACTTCTTTTTATCTTCAGGATATTGTAAGGGGCTACTAAGGCAACAGAGTATATCAGTGCAGGGGAACAAAAACTCGAAATAAACCCTATAGTTTACAATAGTAATAAACTAGTTTTCTTATTTTGTAGAGAGAGAACTTTGTGGGGCATTCATTTATTAAAATGCTGGTTATGAGGGATAAGTATAGATTTTTAATAAAATTTGCATATATACAATAGTATTTTCTGATAATTTACCCTCTCCCATATTTACTATACTATTATATCAGCCATTAAATGTCCACTGCTGAATATAGGCCTCCTCCTATTGGGATTTCCTGTCCAATATAATAAGCATTAAATGAATTTATTTGGTGACTAATATTTTGTTAAATATTTTATTGTATGTAGACTTGATATATTTATCGTTCATTATCGAGTATCGTGACTTTTATAATTATTATTATGAGTAATAATTTTTGTATCGGTTTACTAAGTAATGTAAGTATTTCGTGAGAGTCAGATTACTGAATAAAACTTATTTCCATTTACATATAAATAAAACTTTTACTAATGTAATAATAATACTATCACACAATATACTCGTACAAATGTAAACTATTTTAGAATTTTAATAAATATATTTACATGCTATATATATAACGTAATCCTCTGTTATCGAGACAAAGGCTTATAAATTAACGTCTTCTATAATGGCCGGTCAGAGACTGTCTGTACCAATAAGAAAATCTATCCCGGACTGGAAACGCAAAACAAACAAATCGTTTGAATTTAGGATATGTACACACGAATAACAGATCTCATACGATTGTTTTTATATCGCTAATACTTATCACTTTCCAAAATATAAAAATGGGGTAATACGAGTATGTATATAAAATTTTACATACAAAAAGAATTACGAATGTAAAAGAGTCAATCTAGCTTTTCTAATTTGCATTTCTAAAAACTTCAGATAATATACAGGATAATATACCAACAAAGATATTTTTATATATGTATACACATGATATATTCATCAATTCAGAAACAATTTTAATTATTCAATTCACAATCGATAAGATTTACTACCGTGTTTTTCCTTTTAGTTAGGATTTATTTTCAATATACCATAACAAATACATTACGGATTATATTATCCAATACTAAACAAGTGTGAATGCAGCCTAAGTATCGCTTGAAACCAATAAAATCGTGGCACATAGAGGGATTCCACCCTCATTTGCAAGGAGTCTAAATTAATTGGGCGCAATTATCTTTTTGTTTTGCCCCCGAAATGAAACCGTCGCTCGCCATTAATTATAACCTTGAATGTTGCCAACTTTAGCTGTTTTAGTATTTCACAATACATTTGTAAAGCTTTCGGTGCTAAAAGTTTGATAAAATACGGTCTTGTGAAATTTCTTCAGGGATAGTTAGCAAGGGGAGACGAGAACAATGTAATTTAAATTTGTTTATATATAATATTTTTATTAATGTTCAAATAATTTATTTACTAATAAATTACAGCTTATTAGGTAATTAATTCGGAATTAAGCTTATTTTTGCACCTTTTTTAACGTCATATAATAACAAACGTATTCACAAAGACTGTATATATTTTTGTATTAAAAATATTGAGATATGACGAGAAATATATTTCCTCGATTTATAATAAGTAGAAAGTAAACATTTTTATATATAAAAAAAATATATATATATATATATATATATATATATATATATATATATATATATATATATATATATATATATATATATATATTTTTTTTAATAGTATATTTTATTTTTAGCATATAACAACGTAATGCATTTACAACTATCTTGAGGCGTACAAAAATGATATATTTTAAATTGAACTTACAATCTCAGTCAAAACATAATTAAAATGTATAAGTTTTTATGAAAATTAAATAATTAAGCTTCTGATAATAGGATTTTCCCAATGTATAATTATCTTGTATTTTACAAATGAATGCAGACGGTTATAAATGTAGAATTATATAAGATCTTATAATATTTATCTTATCTTTTAATAGCTTGTGTGTTGTGGTTGTTACACATACATACGGAAATAGATACTAATAAATTATGAGCATTATATCATATGAACATAAAAGAGTACCGTCACTAAGCGATATACCACCCTGACTTAAAGACAGTAGAGATCGTAAGTTCGAGTCTGATCGATAATAAATATTCCCTGACAATCTAAATTTCATAATTTCAAATATTATTACTTTTATGTAACATTTTATATGTATATATGTTTATAAATAGTTGGAAGAAAAAAAGATAAGTAATAAATATCAGTTAGAATTCTTGTTTCATTTTTAATCATAACTTGTTATTCTCAGTAATTTAGTTAGTCCAGACAAGATGTGGCAAAGGAATCTAATCGTATGTTGAGTTACTATATCCTACGCATGAAATAAAAGTAAACAACAATATTCGTCGACTTGTTTCCTATACATATAGTACCATAAATATATTTACAAATATTTTGCTGAGTACCCATAATATATTATAATTCGTTGCGTTATTAAAAGTCACGCAAATCGCTTTGCTGCTGTGCCCAATTGGCTACTCGCTAAAACGGACTCCCCATCAATCCGATTATCATAAGGTGCAGTCCAACGAAGCGTAAAGATAAATTAGAGACGACAAAGGGAAGACTATTAGTCCCCCCACATTAAACAATTATTTTATCAACTGTCTACGTCCGTAGAGAAGCTACGGGTAATAATTACTACGAAATTAATAGCTTTGTTAATCTATGCCAGAGTATGCAAAGGAAGTATGGATTTCCATGTATGAGTCATATTCATTAATATTAAATTTGATAAATTTATAATACAATTAGTAACACGAGCATATAAATTATTATAACGATTAGATTTTTGCTCTGCAGGAAAGTAACTTCAATCAGAAACACATACGCACGCACGCACGCACGTATGTTTTCAAACATACACACACGCATACACGCACATACTCGCAGAAACTGACAAATATCAAGATGTTTTGTAGACAATATTGAAAATATTTAAATTCAGAACGCGGAATCGCGTGTGTACAAAAAGATTACATTTCCCAATGCGCAGTTTATGCTGCGTATAAAAAAGATTCAATAGTCGTAAATTAATAACAATCACAAAAAAAAGACAAATTGTTAATTTCCAATTAAGAAATTGCTTAAAATACACTATAATACATATTAAAAAATACGCATTCTAAAATCTCAAATTATTGAAAAAGGAAAGTATTCGAGTGTGACATTTTGAATCTATTTTTTTCGGTATTTTAAAAATAAATCATATTTTATCGCAATTTGAAGCTGGATTTTTTTCAATATATATCCGGTCTCCATAAATTATGTAAAGAAAACATTATAAATGAAGCATAATTATTGTAATTGGACTCTCTGACCTGTCTACCTTCTTGAAAGTATATTCGATATATCAGAGTCAAACAAAGCCTGAAAAGAAATGGATTAAATATAATTTCGGTCGTTCAGATCCTTCATAATAGGGTTTATTAAATATACATACAAAGAGCAAAGTTAAAATTAATACTTACAAAAAAGAAACGTTATAATGATCAGAAATAATATAAAAAAATCAATCATTGACGTTATGAAAACTGGAAAGCAAACAAGTAAATTTTGTTTCTCAAAATAAAACGGACATCAACCAAAAAGTTGAGAAACATTTTTTTAAACATTTATATTTATATATGATAATACAATAAGGTATAATGTCATACCATATCTATAATATGTATCTTTCATAATCTATAATTGCATATAAGTAAATAAATACCATTCAGTATTTATGAATAGAGTTTGTTTTATTACATGCTTATTTTATATTTAGACATGAACGGATTCTCAATCCTGGATATTGTATATTATCGTTATATAATACGTAAAATTCCCACAGTAAAGAACCTATTTAGCATTTATTTTTCTTATCACTTTTAATTCTTGGAAGAGTTAGTAACCGTTACAGTTGCGATAAAATGTCAATGATCTATAAATAAAAAGATAAACCGAGTGAATCATAGTCGAAATTATGACGGAAAGTACCTTTATACGCAGGGAAAGTAGATAACGCTATGTGTCAGATTACGAGTGATGGAAATGACAATTGAAAATATTATATTTTATTTAAAAAAACCTGTATTTCCAATATGTTACTAAAAGTTGATTTCAAAATAGTAAATAAATACTTTAAGATTTTTCTACAGAAAGATTTGTTTCAATTCAGTTATACGATAAAATTGAACAACAGCAATGAATAAATAAATAAATTTTGATCAAATTATTTTACACGTAAGTAAATAAAAAAAATATTAATATAATTGGTAGAGCCACGCTGTAA